TCACCATTCTCTACAAATCCAACAGTCTAATTTCATTTGATAAGAATATTGTATAACTATAGGTATTTTTAAACAAACATGTTGGGAAAGTTTGAGACTTTCTGATAGCAAATTTCAAATGTTAAAGATAGGGTTTCTGTGGTTCAGTCTCTTTAATGTCATTTGTAAACTTTAAAATCTATGGTATCTTATGTTTAGTTAAATAATTAGAAATTCAATTGCATGGACTATGTCAGACGTCACTTTGATGTGCACTTTTAAGGCGTTTTTCTTTTTTTTTTTATCTTCTTTGTGGATGACTTTTGCCTAATTTGACTTTCCTTATGTAAGGACATAGATAGACAATTTGTAAATACCACCTTGAATTGAAAAAATTTAACAATAGTGATATATATGTTTATTCTGATTCCTTTAATAAGAATGGTAAAAACCAGTTTAATATTGTAGGCTACATTTAACTGCATAAAACTCAGCTTAGCTGATTAAGTGATAAAGTTTTGATAGTTGATTACTGGGATTTTAGTATGATGCTGACCTCTATAAATTTTTAAATTGTCACCTTATCTTTATTACATGCAATTATGTCACATGTACTGATATACTTTAAGTTAAACAGCACCAGATGACTAACACCTGCTATTAAACTTCTGACATTTTAAGTTCTAAATGTATATTTTTTCCCTCCCTAAATGTACCAAGCATTATCCTTTGTTGCCCTTTGTAACAGCAAACATCCTACTGTGAATTCTAACTTTTAAATACGTTTATCTTTTTCTTTTCAAATTAGATGCAGAGACATGCCTTAATGGAATAACATCAGCTCTGAACGGTTTCTTAATTTGAACGTTGACTTTTTGCAATATCTTTTGATTTACATGTTTATTTCCAGACAATATATCTGCAATGTACATTTGAAATTTCACAGTGTTTAACCGCTTTTCATTTTTCTCAAACATACTAGTAATGATCTTCATTTTATGCTTTCTAAAAAGCAGGCCTAAAATAAAACCACACACATAGAATACATTTGAACCATTTATATAAACACACTGGCAACAAATGTTTGATAATGCGATTGAATGTTGTAATTTATTTTTAATGTTTTGATATTGTATGAGTCTGTCTACATATACATAACACATGTTTACATACACGTAACACATAATAATTGACTGACTGACACACTGTTCAAAATCCTTGATAAAGAAATATCTATCAATCATGAGAGTATATCCCCAACATTGCCTGGATCTCCATGTATGTGAATGGATCTGAATATCAACTAAACATTCCTTCTAATCCTGTTAAATATCTATAAGAATCATATAACATCTCCATATGAGGTAAACTTCTTAATGTGCGGGGTTTTGTCCATGAATGTGCGTATATTTTGACAGTGTGGGCATGCTATAATCCACTTGATTAGTCTAACTATAAGTCTACAAATCATGCAGTTTTAATTTATTAATCAACCAGTAGTACCATTGTTTTATTTGTGACCTCAAGTGAGTTATAAAACCCCATTTTAATAGTATTTGGTGTATTTCTTTTGCTTGTAATTTTGTTACTATGAAATTCAGCCTACAAATAGCCCCTCTAGGTTATAAGTAATATGGCAGGTGTACCATACCATGATCAAATAGCACAAGTATTTCTGACTACAAGATGTACATTGGTATAAATTATCTACTTCAACTACTTACATGTTTACAAACTCAACAACAATACTAACTACATGTCAGATATATGATTGACATACTGATACACCTTACACTCGAAACATGACCAGTCACTATGTTTTCATAGGTCATAGCATGGCACCAAATGTTCATCATTCCTGAGATTGTATTATATGAAGGATATACGGGATTTAATTTCACACCATGTTTTAATATTTATATTAAATATTATATAATAGGATAAGACAAAAGTAATACAGGTGTCAAATAATATGTTTTGATTTTTTGTTAAATTAACATGCATGTACTATTTAGTATGTCAGCTACACTGCACCAACCATATGTTAAATATAACAGTAATTGTAAAAATCACAGCCTGTTGAAGAAAGCATCTTTTAAAGGTAATACAATTAGTGCTTAATTATTTTCTATTTCAGGTGGTCATAATATTTAGAACAAAAAAATAATGATGCCTTAAATGGAATATACAACTTCCTGTCAAACAATCATTATAAGAAATTAACAATATTTTGGAATATCTTTAGTTTTTTTGTGATTCTACAAGGTGTTTAAACAAGTGTTGAATGTTATTACAGTTGTATAGGTATATTAAAGTTATATATAGAACATATGTATGTTAATTAGTTGTATATCAGGTCAACACTGTAAGATAAGTCAAGATTAAATACCAATATAATATTTCTACTGTCATATAAATATGTCTTCAAATCTTATCATTGCTTTATTTCTGTATGTGAAATATATATTTTTGGCAGGAAAGAAGACAGTTTTGATTTCTGATGGTAAATACAAGATAGTAGATGACTGTCTTGTTGTCAAAAAAAGGCTGCCGTATAGATAATAGCTATTTAAGTACACACAAGCTGTTCTTATTAACTGTTTTATGAGGTATGTTGTGTCGAGGTGGAGGAGGGGGGGGGGGAGATTTCTACTTAGTATAATTTCTTTTCTTTGATATTTAGTTATGTATGTTTTATAATAATAGAGATAACATTGGCAAAATTTTACTAAAAAATGGACTTTTTCAAACATAATTAAAAGCAACAGTTGCTACCTTAATAGACAACTGCAGGTGTCTGTTAATCTTGTTTCATGTTTAAAAACAAAATGGTTTTAAATTAAAGACAATAAAGAAGCCGTTTACAGTAGATATCATTCTACAATTTTACACTAGGGAGGCATTTGTATGTAATTACAGTTTTAATACAAATCATATGGTATAGATGATAAAAACCGTAAAGCTTCAAGGTGCAGAATTCATTACTCTTTTTCTTGATTCTTACATGATAAGACATGAAACATTTTAAAGAATTGTTCCTGTATATTTAATTTCAAGGAAAACTTTTTATTATACACATTTTTATTAAACTTTGATGTAAACTTAGACATAATGTTTATGTCAAAAGTAATAGCCAAAAGTTTGGGGAATTAGGCATTATTAGCACCCATTAAATTCCAGTTATTCTACAATGTATACTATAACAATTACAAATTATGATAAATTCTACATTTAAATTCAACAAATCGTGAATTTGGATGACGAATGATTGCTAATTTTAGTAACAAGTATTATTGTATGGTGGAATGAGGACAACTTCTGGAAGTCATCAAACTATAGATTAATAGCATATTTGGACACGAGACATTTTGTCAAATCTAATTTTGTTTTGTAAACTTTGAGCATATTCTAGATATGAAAGCTTTGCCCAAATGAAATCATGATAAACCCCACCCCTGAAAAAACAAAAGAGAGGTTGTATTTTGGATACTAATCCCAATATTGCCCTTGTACATGTGTAATCTGGAATAACTTGACTGTGGAAATGTTGAATAGATTTAACAACATCACACCATATTTAATTCAATCCTTATGTGTCTTATTCATGAAGAGCATACAATAATATTACTCTAAATACATGTACTTATTTTTTTTAAACTCCCATGTGAACAATTCTAAAAATAGATCAGTATATCCTATTTTTATACGACTTTATCTTGAATTTGTTTTATATATTTATATATACCGGGTAAATGTCATGAATTTAATTTTAAAAATACATTATCACAACATCCGTGCATTCTCTGGTGATTTATACTTATCACACATCATCAATTTGTACTTTTGAAATTTTGGTGAAAATTCATCTCCAGTGAAAAATAAATGCCTACATCTCAAGACAAAAAATAATTCTGAGGAGGCAGGGTATGGTTATTCTTTCCAGAACAGACAGTACCAAGCTAGGAAATTATCTACTGTTGACATTTGGAATTTTTTTTTTTTAATTTTCAATGTTAAATAATGAACTTGAGTACATTTTAGTGTGGAATTAAGCTGTGGAATATTAGATTTTTTTCCGAAAAATTCAAATGACACACAAGTCTTAAAAAAATTAATATTACAGTTATACTTCCTGTGCTATTATTAGTAGCTTACTGAGGTCTATGCCTTTATTCCTATAAATTTGGATATCTATTAGCTTTAACATCTCTACCTTTAAAAGTATCTAAACTTGATATCTACTGAACAAGCAGTTTATTTAACATTTACTAAGATTTTGGTATGTATAATCCAAAGTAAATAAATAAAATGTTTATTCAATAATGTAAATAAATACCAAATCCCTAAATAAATGGTTACCATGCAGCTAGTTTTATCAGACCTTCCGTTTGTTTTTACTAAATGTCGTTTTGTTATATTCAGATGAATTAGTCGTTGTTTGTCAACTCCCTGTTACCTTTTGTCGCCATATATTTACTCTAAACCAATCATATTGTTTGATAATCAACTACGACTGAGAATTTTTTTTCAACATTGCAGCATGGTTGACAAATTACAAATATGGTTAGCTAATCTCTAGTTAACTAAGAGGTGCGAGTAAAGAATTGCAATAGCTGTGTATACTTTGTGTGCTAAAAGTGGCTGATAAAAATAATCTGACACTATCATAAATGAAAATTCAACGGTATTCAAATGAATAATAAAACCACATTGGCAGCATTTCTGTAATTCAGTTTAATAATCTGGTGCTAATTCAGGAATTTTTGAAAGATGGAGTCATCAAAAGTTGGTGTGTTTAAACATTTTAAAAAACTGCCTATATATTTAATGGGGCTGACTTTAGAATCTGTTCAATTTTCAGCACATCTGCAATATGGATAATGCAAGCAGTGGTCGGATTGTAAAATGTATTGATATAATATGTATACTGTGCATGTAACCGTTTGTTTTCTTAAAAAGAAATAAAGAGGGGTGGATGTAGGTTGGTGACGTGTGTAGAAGTAAATAATTTAATAACATACCTGCTTGCTGTCGCTCATGGTTTCCAATATTCAATTTCTGAAAACAAAAAAGAAAAGAATACAAATTATTTTGCAGTATCACCGATTCCAAAGAGAAATAAAATTCAAAGTCTGTAAATAATCTCAGGTGTTTTGATATCAGGTGTGCCTCATGCACATCACCACTACAATAACAACACCTTTGTTGGGTATATATATATATATATATATATATATATATATATATATATATATATATTAACATTTGGGAACATTAATATTTGGGAAATGAATGTGACAATCGAAGATAAAGATATCAATGTTTAACAAGAATTTCCTGACAAAAACCACATAGAACCTTTTAACTGGTTAAAAATTATAGTCTCCAAAGCCTGATTGTCATTAATAATCCCCTAGCTAGAAAGCCTTACAAAATGAAAATGTTCTAGCTTAGCTCAAGATATGCACACACTGTAAGCTGGTGACTGGGGTAAACTACTGCATATCAACGGGAAATTAACAATAGGAAAAATTATATCACCGAATTATTGTACAATTCCATACTTTTCTGATTCGGGTCAATATAAAAACCAAATCCAAACAGGAAGTGGAGTTGTCATTAATGGTGCCATCTTAATTAATCTTTAACTCATATAAAATCAATTTTAACACTGAATCTAGTATTGTTTAGTGAAATTTGTCATTTGAAAATGAACTTATTTGGAAGTATTCTGTTCCTTTTTACGAGATCTGACACAAAGTCCAACTCCTAGGAGTAAAGACAGAGAACAGTTTTACAGAACAAGACATAAATACACTTCTGCTAATAGAGTTAGCGACTACACTTAATTAAACTAGATAATCCATATATGTATAATGAGCAGACTATTAGTTTATAATTTGAGCAAATTAATTACTTGACAGTTATATGTATTTAATAATGTTAGCATTTGCAATAAATTTCTAAAGTCATACCATAGGAACACTTATTAAACGCATTGCAGAAATGAAAACCGTAGTTGAAAAATAGAAATACTAACACCCAAACATATTAAACATGTACATGTAGATATAATTTATGTACAATGTTAAATCTTAAGTGTACATAATCTGAAGATTATTGCAATAAACCAAGGGATTAACAGTAAATACATTACAGATTCAATACCAGACCCTAAAAAAAGGTTTAAAAACTTACTTAGATAAAAAGCTATAGTAACACAAAAATGTATTCGTATTCACTTCACTATTAAATACTTACTGTAATGAGTCATTTCAATCTCCTAATTCCCTACTTTGCTTAACTCGTCTTGGTATCAGTCAATTCATGATGAAATACGGACACAGATATTGACACAAGATTATCACTGTACTAAGATTTGATAATATTATGCATGAAAGGCATACAATTTATAGTGGGGTTGGGTATTGGTCGAGTGGTCTAACGTGACATCCTTCACATGACAAAGAATAGGATCACCTACCCAACCTTGGGGGTCCCACAGTTTCCTTACATGGCTAAAGCCCTATATATGCTAGCAGATTATCGAAATTGTCCCAAGTTAGTCCCAGAATGTCTGTCACACACATACATACTCATGCAATTTTCATCAACAGCTGTAATGCCAAATTACCACCACATGTTTAATATGTCACCTGATATTTCCACTGTATTTTTTTTCAACAGTTCATAGAAAAAATTTAAATTTAGTTGGTTGATAATCTTTTAGATACTTGTTACAACTTTTGAAAGCATTTAACAGAATCTGTTCTATTCTGCATTCAAGCTAATTGTATATTCTGTTCAAGACTCAATCTTTAAAAAGTAATCTAATGTCCAAAAGGCAATACATGTATGATGAAGTGCTGAAAAAAATGGAAAATGTGACTAGAATTTAAAACTAAATGTGAAAAAATTGTTGCCATATCAACAAAATCTGAAGAAGGCAGGTTTGTATGTAAGTTTCAAAAAACTTGAACAGGTAACCAGTACCAATTGTTGACTTGTCTTAATTAAAATCTTTGTTCCAGCTTCATTAGAAAGGCGAATGATGGCTGAAGTAGGTTAACAGTGTTGACAAAATAGAAAGAAACTTTAGAAATTAAAAGGTGTGAAGTAGTAGCAAGTGGATCATGTGACTGATGTTACAAACATCACACAAATCCCCCTCCATTTTGGGCGCTTTAGGATGTAAGGGTGGAATTTCCTTGTTTAGTGACAAGTGCAGACTGACCTTTTTTTTTCAAACAGTATAGGAGTTGAAATAAACCTAATGGAAGGTTTGACTGACATTTTGATTCTGTACAGTAGACAGTTCAAGTCATGGTCGAACAAGGTGTGAAAACCACAAAATACTATAAATACCTCAACTCTAAAAAATGTCACCTTTTTACCTTAAAAAGAAAGTTGATTACATGTTGCACATGTACAATCAACAGAACTGTTAACAATGGGATTGGAAAGATTATTGTAAGTCGTATGGCAAAGACTTGAATCTTACTATTTGCATCTTTCACAGAGGTTATGGTTAGTACCATAAACTTTACTCACATTCCATAATAAACATATTTTGCTTACTTGCATGATTAAATTAATATGATTTTACTAAGAATTCACAACATTGAAAATTGTCAAGTCATAAAAAGTTTCGACCTTAGAGCCAATGAATTCAAAGGTCTAAAGTAACCCCCTGGTGCGTAAACTAAAGGGTAGAGTTGAACTTTCAAACTGCCTGTTTTCATAAACGAATAACTAGCTACCATTTATACTGACTAAATTCTAAGATTTTTGTCCTTATGTTTTATTTCTTGATCGTTAGTTACAAATTCTTATGTTGATTCATTTTTTTTTATGAAAGATGCAAATAAAATGAAATGATATGGGGTTTAACTTCCTACTTCTATCAAAGATGTAATTAGAAATACAGGATCAAAGGAAGTTATCATAGTGGTTATCAATGATAAAGTCTGCTATCAATAAAATCAATCGACAGTCCCTTTAATCATGAAACTGCACACAAATATCTATTTAAAATCTTCAGGATGAAAACTCACTAAGTTCTATAACTTGGCTAAGAGTAGCCCCCTTTAATATTAACACCCTTCAAAGCAACTTGCCAATCAAGAATACTTTTATCTAGATCAGGACAAATTACTAGGTGTTTGGAAATATCAATCACATACTATTGTCCCCTGGAAAGTCATTACAACATTTTAGGGTGGATTTGACCCTCTGATGAGACCCATGTCCATACAACTGTCAATCACAGTCCAGCAAAAACAGATCAAAGTAAATGAAAAAAAGCTTTCCAACCATTATTTTTGTTCAAAGTAACAAGATTTAGGGTTGTTAGTTTAAAATCCTGTCACAAATGGTATGATCTTTTTTCCTCTCCAGTGACATCTTTTCATGTACAATGAAGATTTACAAATATGAATGGGTAAAGAAATCTTTATTCCTGCAGGTAGGGTCATAATAACCAGGTACATATAGTTTAACACTTCATCTTTTAGCAATAAATTGCATAACATCATGATTTATGAAAATATTAGATATACCAAGAATAACTTGCACAATAATTAGCTTTGATTCAACAAATCTTCAATGATCATTCAAGGAATCCCAATACAAAAGAAGAAATATCAAAAGTCAGATCAGGTGTTCTGGAAAGGATATGTGTAATGTGCATTGTGATATACATGTTTATTAAGTATTTGTTGCCTTTCCCAGATCTAATTCATATATCACTATTACAAATGTAAAATCGATTAACATTTGAAAAGAAATGACAGATTTCATTTAACTCTTATACATTGATCTGACAATAATACACACATTAGAATTTGACCTTTCAGAACGACTCTCAGGTCAAGATATGATCGATTGATTTAACTTTCTCCATGTTCAAGTAATTAAAAGATTTCTAACAAAAAACTGGCAAGTTCTTTAAAAGGTTGAATTCCTATAATCTTGGGTTTATCGTTCAATCCTCAATGTTTATCCACTTAATTAAATTCTGATCTCAAAATCTTTTTGATAGAAATTTCAATTTCTTTGAATTTAATCCCTTTATAGAAATGGTATTGTAATGTCAATAACGGAACCCTGTATCTGATCTTCTATTTACTTTTCAGTTGAACTCAGCAAGGGATAAATAGTTGCTTTGTTGAAAGATGGTTCAAGTTCAAGGACATGAGAAGCAGTGGGTTAATATACAAACGTACATTTCTAAAACCATGTGATTGTTATCCCCTTATTTCAGGTGTATCCCTCATCCCCATTGAGTATTTGTTTTCCGAGCCTGTAATCTACTTGCTACGTATGTGATGAAGTAGAGCTATAGATAAAGATTAGAATTGGCATCTTGCTGACAAGGTCATGGCTTTCAAACAAAAATTTGAGATTCTTCAGAATGGTAAACATGTATAAAGATGTTGAAAGCTGTCAAACAGGTCATCAAAACATTCTATTAAGAACCCTTGAAAATATTTACAGAATAAAGGTAGGTATTTTAATTAGGAAAATCTATAAAATAGATCACCTAGATAAACATCTTTAATAAGGCAAAGAAATGTACAATCCATTTTCATTGAAATGCTTTATCAAGTTCTCGTTCCAAACGTAATTACTATTCAGCATTAGAATACAATTATTCAGGTTCAGAAAGACCAAATTATATTATAGATAAATTAAAATATACATCTTCTATTCAGAGAATCTTTCTCCAGGTATTAAACATAATTATTTATTCTAATACATGATTTGTAAAATAATCATTGAAATGAATTACTATAACAACTTTCACGTTGAACTGATAAACCAATAACTGTTTAATGTGGTTCCAATCAAAAGTTGACCATTTTAATCCAGCTTGGCTTTTTCCAAGGTAGTTGGCTGAAAATCTTCTTCCTAGTAAACATAACCTAGATCGAAATCCTTTCCAACTTCCTTTTCTTGGCACACATCATATCAACATACAAATAATATTAGATACTGGTAAATCTTCTGAGTTTACCTTCAATTTCTCAGCTTCTTTTGATACTTGTTCATTTCCTCAA